TCAGTGATATAATTTTGCACGCCGTAGTGAAATATGAAGACGAGTGGCTCGATTGTTCTCAGCTTCGTCCACGGTGCAGGCAGTCCTCATTTTCACTAAATTGTTTGGACCTGCTCGGTTCGGCATGTCAACATAACTACAGAGAAGCGTAGATTTGTGAACTTACCCTCCTAGTACAACTCGATATTACATGAGTATAGTTTGACAGCCGGCTTCATCTATATTTTGCCTTTTATCCTCGTCGCATGATCAGCCAACTCTCTTCTGATTCACAACAAACATGGTAATATAAGCAGCAGTAAATTAGGGCCCGCAGCAGAATATGCGTGTTGAAAGCCACAATGGTGCATGGCTATTTGATTTGTGAAAAAAACTGTGTTAATTTTTGATTTTTTGGCTTAAAGATTGAGCGAAATTTTGCTTCATGCAGTTGTTAATTAAACTCTAAATGAAGAGTACAAATTCTGGTGGTAAATTTTCGTCTTTTTGATCCCTTCGAAGTGCTTATCAGTTGCTATCCCATCAAAGTGCGTTTTCGTCCCCCACCATTACGGTTGGCACACTTTCTTTGATTACTATAAGCAAAGCTGCATGTTTTTCGTGTCCTTGCCGGTCAACCTACGAGAATGTATTTGAGAGGAAATTTCTTCAGTATTAGCGCAAGTAATTTTATCGATGTTGAGGTGAGTAGTTTGCGCTTTATGATAATTTTTTTTGACGAAGACATTTTCTTGCCCATTCCTCGGTCGTGTTTTTAGCGTTGTTTACCTTCTGGTTCATTCCGTAAAACTTATACCACGTATGAGGAAGTTTGCGTTCCTGCTATTAACGGATCTCAAATCAAAGAAGTGGACCATATTAACGTCAGTGATCTCGATGAGGTTGGCCTAATAGCTTTTCTTTAAAACATATAAAATCATAGTATGCAAGAAGATAAGCTCGCATATTGTGACTTTTTAAGCGAGAAACTTTCGATAAGTGACACGTTTTAATTTCAAACTTAAAATTTAGCTTATCTTGGATTTGAACTTCATTTTCAAATCGGTTTCTGCAGCTGGGGAGGAAGTGTTTCGAAGGCATCGAAAAGCTGAACATTATTCAATCGCTGGTATTCAATCAGGCTTATAAATCGCGTGAAAATTTGCTCATATGCGCACCAACTGGAGCTGGTATGCTTCAACTTGCTATGATGCCTTGAACAGTTACTAGTTCGTTGTTGCGTGCTTTCACTGCATTTATCACTTTCACTGTTCCGAACTCAGAACCTGCCATGTCGCCACGTATCTCCATGGAGGCGTTCATTTGCATGTTGCCATTCCACTCGTGGTTTTTTTATTATCCGGTTATCATTATGAATACAGTCACAAATCCGTATTGCCCACCAATTGTTTTCGCTCAGAAACCACTGAAAATAACTATAAGGATGAGATTACTCCGGAAATGTAGGGAGTACAGGGTTTGAAAATGTATTGTAGAGAAGGCGTGGGAGTTGCTTGGTTATTTCATGTGGTGTTTTAATTTGTTTTAATGTTTTTTTTTCGAATTCGATCTTATAAATCTAGTTTTTTTTTAATAAATTTAATTCGGATTAAAAAAACAGGCAAAACGAATATTGCGTTACTGACAGTTCTGAACACAGTGCATGGCTTCATGGACCAAGGCGTGATCTATAAGGATGAATTTAAGGTAATTTTGCCGTTCATTTAAAAATGTGGCCACTTTTTCCTAGAGGCAGAGGCACACGGATATAGCCCGGGTGGGTCGCCTGATAACAACAACCACTCGATGGCAGAGCTACCAGTGATTGCTTACAAGGAGGCTGAAGACGGTTTAATTTTATGGCATGCTTCAGCAACAGTTCACTTCAAAACAAATAAACGAGTCGTGGAGGGTTTAGCTGTTTTTCCGACAAAATCAGTTTCTCAGTCTTCAGCCGACAAAATCAGAGCTTACATTATTCATCCACTGTTACAAAATAAGTCGAGACCTGGACAAGTGGAAATTTCGTTCATTAGGTGCGCTTTTAAATGTAACTGAAAAGGGTGATCCTTTCACTTTTAAGGTTTTTTTTTTGGCTACCGATTTTAGTTTTTTGGGGTCTTAAAGGAATGCATTGCAGATAATTTACATTGCGCCGATGAAAGCTTTAGCAACGGAGATGACAGCGAACTTTGCAAAGCGATTGGCACCATTAGGCTTGAAAGTGCGTGAATTGACTGGTGATACAACGTTGACAAGGAAAGAAATTGCTGAAACACAGGTGCGATTGATCCCCTTGCAATGCAACGAATAGAAAATGGGGTTTTAACTGAAGAATTCTGTATATTTTTTGTCTCCTGTGCAAGAAAATAGCGCAGAAAGAGAAAATTCTGTAATGAAATTTCGGCCTGTTTGGCTTCGGTCTCCTTGCACATAACTCAGGCTACAAAGCACCAGAATTGCCGATGCGATCATGCGTTTTCGCGCTATGCTTGCAGATTATTAGCAGCAGGAATGGAACATGCATTGTATTTTGACGTTTATTCTTATACTGACTGTGTTTTGGCCTCTATCCGCATGCAGGGGAAAGGGCGTTGGCTGGGATGAGGACGTTGCATTATGGGGCCACGCGGACCTCCAGCATGCATGATTATCAGTTTTTTGCATGAAGCCCGGCCGTCTTCCCTGTAAGCGGTCGTTCACTGAAAAAAAAAAGAAAATTTGGAGGAAGTCGGCAGAGAATTATACAATCTGCAAAATGCACTCACTTTTGAGTTTGCGACAAAATTGAGCACTTGTCATGCCTACGTGCAAGGAATTTCACCTCCAAGCCGAACTAAAGTCATACATAAATATAGAATTTTCTTGCAAAGTTTCATCTTTAAGGCTTCTCCGGCAAGCGTAGTAGCCACTTCGCTACAAATATTTCTTTTTTGAAGTGCCCTGAGTCGTGGCTAAATGCAAATTGAAGCTCAATTTAGTTATACGATTTTTTGCCTGAACAATAAATATTCTGACAAAATTTCAGTTGCTGTTTACTGGCTAGTTTTCGATTTAGCACACTGCCAACTGCTGACTGTGGTGTGATCAGACATGCGCGGTAGTTGAGTTCGAAATTTTCAACTCGTACATGCAAGGGGGATACTTCTATAAAGTTTTAGTTTTCTGACTTGTCTGAATCACGAAATCGTTTCTCGCCAAAGAAATATGTGTGTTTTTTCAGAGGTCCATATGCAAAATTCAGGTGCATATGAGCAAAGGTTTTAAAGCCGGAGGGTGACCCCTGGGAGGGGAATCCAGAATTTTAGCCTCCTAGCTTTCCTAGTTGCTGAGTTGAAAGTGAGTGACAAAGGTCACTCGCTCCCGAACACACACATACCCACGGACAACCTCTCATTAATATGCGCTTTCGCTCACTGTAGCAGCACTATACCATTACGTAGCAAAACCGCATAAAAATTAGAGATGTAGGTCGGAAGTGTTGCAGGAAATGGTAAATATTAACTGTAGTTGTGCAGTTCAGAATCGAAGAGCTTGCGTAGTTGTGCTTGGCTTGTGAGAGCATCTCAATAACATTATTATATAAGACCTCTACCTCAATTGCCAAAACGGTTTTAGTATACCACATATAAAAATTATGCGCTTTTGCTCGGTCACTGATGATCGAGGATGTTTTTTTGCTTTCCTTTCTGGAGGTAGTGGGAATTTGGTATCTAATCATTCCCGGTTTTGTGTCTTTAATATAAATTGGCCGTCAGATATAAAAGGATAACATATTTTACATCCTAGGAAAGGTAAAGACGCTCAGAAGTAGTGTAGGTAATGACCTGTGCCACCAGCAGATAATAGCTGACAAGGCTATCGTGGCTTCCTCTTTCATAGGTTACCAAGAAGCAGGCTGATGATTGTTTTGACGTCCCGGCATGCACCAATATCATTTTATTGTTGAAGCTAATGAAAAATTAGTAGAAGGATTGGCCCATTCTGAGATTAAATCAGTGGCCAGTAATAACGAAATATTTCTGTTTTCTTAATGGCGGAATTAAAAAAGTATTTTTCACTATGATTGAATTGGACGTTTGTTTAGTTGGGTTTAGCCCTCTTTCTGTTAAACTTTGCCTTTTGACTAAATTTTGGCACTTGTTTCGAATTATTTAAAGATTCTTAAAATAGCTGTTAGTTCGCCATTGATTCATCAACTTTCATCAACCATGTCATTTTCTTCCTCATCTCATAATTCTTTTGATCATCGCTTCATCGTCCAATAAGCCTTCTGGCGATTCTTATGTTTCTTCCGTTTAGTGAATGAATTGTCTGCCAGTACTTCTCTCGACAAAAACACACTGATAAGTTTTAACCAATTGGAGATTCAGCAATTTTTGTTGGGTTTTGCCATCTCACCCCC